AGGTGACAATGAATGTCCCAGGTGACAATGAATGTCCCAGGTGACTGGTCCCGGTGACAATGAATGTCCCAGGTGACAATGAATGTCCCAGGTGACAATGAATGTCCCAGGTGACAATGAATGTCCCAGGTGACAATGAATGTCCCAGGTGACAATGAATGTCCCAGGTGACAATGAATGTCCCAGGTGACAATGTCCCAGGCGAACGAATATATGTCAGACAGCATCAGGTGACAATGTCGTCAACGTGTTAAAAAAATCATTATCGATCGCGAGGAACACACTCTAATTCTTACACTTTTTAAAGCGGTGACCATTATAACTTCAAAAAAGAAAATCAAATCATAAAGAAAGAAAAGAAAAAAGAAAATGGCTAGAAAGAAAAGGGGCTTTTTTTGGGGGAGTGCTTCCACAACCGTGTGGTGTATTGGCTAGCGTTGCTGTTGCCGAATGAAACGAAAAAACCAAGCCCACCAATTTGACTCCGGCATCGGGAAACGAAGCTTTATGAAGTCGATTTGCCCATTATGATATCACTGATTGAATTAACCTAGCGCTTTTATTATGTAACGATTCAAAAATTAGGCTAATCGAATCTAAACCAGCTTTTTGATTACTGTAATTCCAATATGGCTCCAAAATTTTCTAAACACACTTTTAGAAAGTGTATCAGTCAAAAGAAGTGCACTCAAAAGCTGTAAATTTACTATAAACATCAGAAATATAAAAAAATTATTGTTTCGACAAATTTTCCACAGTTTCCAACTGATTGTAAACATTTAAAATCGTTTGCTTTTTGATTTCATAAGCCCTTAAAGCTTTTTGTTGACATGAAAGTTGGTGTTACACAAAAATTTCACAGGAAAACATCAAATTTGATCAATTTTCTTTTATTAAATCAAATCAAATCAAATTTTTATCAAATCAAATAGAAATCAAACATATTTCTTTTCCAAGTTACAAATGAAACAATCAATTTTATCTTTTGTTTCCTGCAATCGCTTTTGAGCCGCCTCAACTTGTGTCGCTTCTCGATCGGCCAATGATCCGGCAAAGAGTTCATTCATTTTCAATCCATCTCTCATTTGATACCGCGATTCGTCAGCTTTCGTGAAAAGATTTTTCATCTTAGTCCATCGGAATTGCCAAGTTTTCTCGAAATCTTTTCTCTCGGTTCTCGCCATTTTGTGAACAACTCGAGCGTTTGTGTGAAGCGTTTTTTGAGAGTTCACCTGAATTTCCTTTTAAATTTGTTTCACTAAAACAAAACCATTCAAAAACCATTCAAAAACCATTGAAAAATCATTCAAAAACCACTCAAAAATCATTCAAAAATCCAACCTTCGCTTCAGCCATTTCACTTTCGTGATTCAATTGTAGAAACTCATCGATCTCTTCTAGAGTCATACGGCTAAAAGAGGATCTAATTTTTAATGAATAGTTGGGTTTGTTGATTCAAAATCGGAATCAGTTCTAGTCCAATACCTATAAATAATCCTCCATTTTGTCGCTTCTTCTTGACTCTTCTCCTTGATAATCTCTTCACATTTGGAAGCAATCATAGACGAACCTTCCATCGGTGTCATCGATAAATCAAACTGAAAAATGCTGACTATCAAATATGTAATATCAAATTGATATGTATCAAAATTCGGTAAAAGCAAAATGTTTGACCGGAGACAGATTCGAACCCTCGATCTCTTGCACTCCGTGCGAGTGCGCTAACCACCCGGCCATACTAAACATGTCTAGGTTTTGTTTTACCATTCTTTAGTTTTCGATCAATCTCTCGCCGGACTCGATAAGCTTAAAGAGTCCAGAAAAATTTTTACCTAAAATGATCGAAATCTAAAGAATGGCAAAACAGAATGGAATGCGCCCGTAGATGGGGGCTCGCAACCCTAAAAAAACACTAAAAACACCAAAAATCGAACATAATTCTACTGGGTATTTTTTGAAACCTTTTTCAAGAGGCACAACTACATCGTCTTTCAGCCGTTTCCCGAAAAACTCACTCCTGTACTCGCTAGAGTTCCGATGGACAGACGGACAGACGAACAGATGGATAGACGAACACGGATAGACGAGCAGACCGATAGACGAACAGACAGATAGACGAACAGACGGATAGACGAACAGACTAACACACGGACAGACGAACAAACTAACAGACGGGCAGACGAACAGACGGATAGGCGGACAGACGAACAGACGGATAGACGAACAGACTAACACACGGACAGACTAACAGACTAACAGAAGGACAGACTAACAGACGAACAGACTAACCGACTAACAGACTGACAGACTAACAGAAGAACAGACTGACAGACAAACAGACTAACAGACTAACAGACTAACAGACGAACAGACAAACAGACGAACAGACTGACATTTCGAAATTATATATAGATTAGCTTTAATTTTATTCTAGCAAAATCATTTAGTAAAATCATCTTCAAAGTTTATTCGCTTACAGAAAAATGACCATTCAGCGAGGCAGCAGAATTGGCATCGGTTTGATTGATGTGCAAACCAGCAATTGATTCTGTGGGAGTTGTATTCGTAATCTAAAAGTGTAACGGAGAATTTGCAAGTTTATGAGTTGCGTCCGTTCCCTTACGTTCCTATTTGCATTTAATTTACGTCGCTTTTTCGTCTCTCACCCGAAATTTCTTCTTTTTTCGTTCTTCGAGAGAACTTGTGTGTGTGTGTTCTTTCTGTACTAATAAACCGTAAAATTAAAAATTCGTTTTACTCTAAACTACCCTTAAGGTTCTAAATTCTGTTTAGATAGCTCGTCTAACATTATAGAAACATAAATATTTCCTAATATTTGTGTAGCCATCGACGAGGCGCCAATTCGTTGTTTACGAGCGTTAACCGAGCGTTAACATTCGTTTTTTTGTTTCGCTGGATCTTTCGTGTTCTTGTTATGTTGTGAGCGTTTTGGGGAAATCCGTTTAACCTTTTGTTTAGCTATTCTGAAATAAAATCATTCCTGATGTTAAGGAATCAGATTGGAAACAATTGGAACCAATTGGAACCATATTGGAACGATATTGGAACCAATTGGAACTGTATCCGAACCATATTGGAACGATATTGGAACTGTATCCGAACCATATTGGAACGATATTGGAACCAATTGGAACCATATTGGAACGATATTGGAACCATATTGGAACTGTATCCGAACCATATTGGAACGATATTGAACTGTATTGGAACCATATTGGAACCATATTGGAACCATAGTTGGCTGTATCCGAACTCTATTGGAACTATTTGGAGCCGTATCCGAACATATTGGAACCATATTGGAACCGGATCACAACCCGAATTTATGTTTTTCCCTAAAAACTCAGGATTGACGCATTTGAAAAATTAGCCAACCAAAAATGAGATCAGATTGATGTGGGTTAACTAACGGTTTAGCAGTTTAGTAGCTTAGCTCTTCAGATTGATGTACCATACAAAATATTAACATTTACCACATCTAGATTTTCGTCGAAAGGATTCGAGCCGATCGTTGTAGTTTCACTTCGAACACTCGACTTGGATTTGGTGCTGGTGGTTGAGCGGCGAGGAACAAGTTTAGCCAAAGCTCTCTTTCTCTGAAAAAATGTAAAATCGATATTTTAAAAGTGACATTATACTAAACTGTGGAAAAAAAAAGCCTACCTTCGACATCTCAAAGTTAAAATTTATAAGTTCTCAAGATTTCGACTCACAAATCAGAAATTCTGAATGTCATATGTAAAAATTGGGAACAGCTGGTGAATAAGAATTCTTTTCAAGGAGCCGATGAGAATTTGATTTCTTTTGATTTCTTTTGAAAGGCTTTCTTTCCCCTCTATCGATGTCGATTGAGTCATCGCTTTCATTTCGATTGTTTCTGTCTGAAAAGCACCTCGAATTTTCTCGAAGCGAAAACAGGGTTGCAAAACTTTTAGTCGAACATGAAGAGGAAAACAAAAAAGCAAAATAGAGAGCAAAACATCAAGAGTTGAAGTTAGATGATAATATCATCAATAAATAACAACTTAAATATTTAAATAATAACTTAAATACTTAAATAATAACGCAAAAAAAGTGCTGTATTGAAAAGTTCTTATCCCTATCAAAAGATCGTCGTTTATTCAGAAAAAAATCAAATAAAATACAGAAAAATGGACATTAAATTTGAAATCTTTGACTATTTTCACCCTAAGAATGCTTCTTTTAAAAAGCTTTGTTTCTTTTTGACTCTTTAATTTTTCTCTTTTTGGCTCGATTACTTGCGGTACTTGTTTACTTTGTTTTGGTCACTCAATTGATTTTCAAATGTGAAAAAGCCGAAGTAAAACCAATCAATTTTTAAAGATTAGAAAAAGACCTTTTTCTTTAAAACTAGCCGTTTTAAGGTCAGATTGGTTAAGAGCTCGTCATTTTTAACACATTCCAATGATCTGATCTACCAATGGGTCAGATGCGTTCTGGATCCTGGGACGGTCTGACCCAACAATGGGTCAGCTGCGTTCTGGCTCCTGGGACGGTCTGACCCACCGGTGGGTCAGGTGCGTCCTGGCCCCTGGGACGGTCTGACCCACTAATGGACCCCGGGACGGTCTGACCTACCAATGGATCAGGCGCGTTCTGGCCCCATGGATGGTCTGATCCACCGGTGGGTCAGGTGCGTCCTGGCCCCTGGGACAGTCTGACCCACTTGCACATTTTCAGCCTGTTCTAACCTATTTTCTAGGTTAGAACCTATTTCTATTACACGCTACTACTATTTCCGGCCTTACTATTGCTGTAGTTGAAAACTAAAACCGGATTCGAATTCCCCATGTTTGCTTTCAATATGATGCACGATAATTTGCATGTCGAATTTCTTTAGCACATTTGCGGGAACATTTTTCGAAAAGGCGCTAGCTGAAAAGCCGAAAAGTGGTTTTTGTCTTCATCGAATACGGAAAATGATTAAATTTTTTATTGTTTTCTTTCTAAACAATTTATCCAGATGCTTTGATGACGCAGAGCTTGTTGACGGAATTGCACGGGGCGGTGGCATTCGGGCATTGTGTACACGCGGTGGCAAGTGTTGTTCCGGCCACGTAAACGGAGACGCCGGCGCCCAGAGCTCTGAATGGGGTTAAAGATTTATACTGTTTAAGATGTGCGCAAAGAAAGTAGATGCAGCTTTCTAAAGATTTCATTCATTAGGTCCTTTTAAACATTAGGTCATTCATTAGGTCCATTTGCTGATTGGGTTCAATCGTAGTGAATGCGAATTTCAAATTTCAAGATCGATTTCGTGAGGATAGGAAGAAATCGAGCAACAGCATTGAGCATCGGCAACGAGTAGCTTACCTTGGGTACATATGACAGACCGTCGCGTATTGATTGTTTGTCATGTTAATGTAGGCACAACCGATTTGGGTGGTTTGTCCGGAGATGATCTAAAAAAAAGCAATAACGTTGAAGGAATTGTGAAGTAGGATTGCGATTGCGTTTCTGAAATCGTATTGCGTCACCTGATAGTTGAAGTTATAGTAGCTGTTGCCACTATTGGGCTGATAGGCCATCGACGGGAGGCCGAAACTGTTTAAATAGTTGCCCCACGAGCTACTCCAAGCGGCATCGACTAAAGCTGCTGATTAAATCTTGACAAATCGTTTTTCGAAAATCCTTTTGGTCACTCCTTCATTACACTAGACCTAGGTGAAGCTAATTGTTTAAACAAATTTTAGAAAGAAATTCAGCTTTGTCTCCTTACTGGGTGATCAAAAAAGCTCACACATGACTTTTTCTAAAAGCAGCTAGTAAATGTCTAACTTTTAAAAGTGATAAGTGTTATATAGGGATTTGAAGCCCTAATTCTTGGCTAAGTTTCAGAAACTACAGAAAATTTGCTACATTTTTGTGAGTTCAATGTTTTGATAAACCATTATCTACAAGTCAAAAGCCTCGCGCCAAATTTCGTAACCCTTGTAGTCAAAAATCACTCACACATAGCCTGTGCAGTCAGTGTGTTTGGAGCGATCCCATAAAGAACACCATGAGTGATTTCTCCGACATTGCTTGGCACTGTTCCAGTCATCTGATTGCCCGAAAGAGTATTCAGACGATTGGCAGCGGCGGTGGCCAACGAGGCGTTCCATTGCTGAATTAGCATTGATCATTGTTATCCATCGATTACACTACCAGACTGTACATCTTCTTGGCTGGCGGGTAATACTCGACTGGTGGTTTTGGACCACCCCCCTGAATTGAATGCTCTCCAGAAATGTTATTATTTGTTACCCATTGATAGTCGTACTCGGCCTCGTAGTCATGCCATTGTTGTTGTCCCTTTGCCACTTTTGAGCGATGACCGATGAACTTCTGAAAATCCGAACGATTTTAATTACTTTTATTTCTTATCTACTATTGACTAGAGTCGTAGAGTCGTAGAGTCGTGTTTTTTTTTGTATGAACTCACATTTAGGACATATGTTCTTGTTGTTCCCGAGTAGACAACCGCTGCTCCAGTTGCAACTGAAATCAAGCTTACAGTGCGTTTCACGCCAAGTGCTCCATATTGTTTTCTTATTGTTTTCTTATTGTTTCTTATTGTTTCTTATTGTTTTTTTTATTGTTTTAATCATTTTTCTTTGTTTTCTCTCTTTAATTTTTTTATTTTAGATTGATGCCGCTTGCAACAGCTCTTAACGAGTTCGATAAAGGACAAGTTACCTTATTTGCATAGCTAAGAACTGCCGGACTGCTAAGATTGCTCGAAAACTGGGAAAATCCCGTTTTTCGATCGGTCGCTACCTTCAAAACCCATAAAAATATAAAAAAGAAAAACGTAGCAACTACAAGAAGAAGGTTAATGATCGAGCTGTCAGTAAATATTATTCAGAAAGTCGATTAATGATGTCCGAGGTGAGCTGAAGCTTAATTTCTCGAAGCTGATCGTCTGCTCTCCAAACAACTCCACAAATCGGATGTATTAAGGAGCAGAAAAGCATTTAGCTAGTGAATTGACGGCTAATAATCACGAAATTGATGCTAAGTTCTTTCTCTATAGTGAAGCCAAACAAGGAAATGCCTTGAACAAGCAACTCAGCGTCGGACTCACCCCCGATGAAGACAAGAAGTGCGATGAGGGTTCTCATTCTGCTAGGCTGAAAATGTCGAGAAGTGGGGAGAATGGGAATAGAATGATTTCCAACTCTCATCCATTGCTTTTATATCCGATCAAATCTCGATTTGTGATGGCCATTCACTTTTTTTTAATAAGGGATCGAGTAAACGGGCGTTCAGCATATTGTCTCTTTGTCGATGATCGAAAATCGCTCTCGTGGAATCCCTATTCAATTGAAATCGTGAGATTTAGTCAATCCGATGCTACGTTGTGTTCTGTTCGAGCCAAAGAATCGAAATTGAAGATCAAACTGCCTACACAGTTTCCCTAGAAGTGAGTAGACTGGACGTAGAAATTACATATTCTAGCTACATGCAAAGCCTTGAAGAAAAAACTTTCGAACTCTTTATCATCGTTTTCAATTGAAATTTGAATGATCAATTGCAAAGAGATAAGATAGCTATCTATTCTTAGCTTCTTAGCTTCAGCTATCTATTCTTAGCTTGAAGAAAAAGTTTGTTTTGTTTTGTTCAAATTTTTCAATTTATTAGATTGCTGCAAAAGAGCTTTCGCTTTTACAAATTCGCAAATTCACAAATCTTAAATTTATCAAAATGCCTTTAAGTAACAATTTACTCTAAAAAATAAGCACCATCGTTATCTATAATATCAAAATATTGCCATTGTTATCTATAAAATCCCTTCAACGTTGCTTCTGATTGCCGATCCCCTTATCGAAGAACTCTTGATTATGTGATTGAAAGTAGTCGGTCACCCAAATCTCTTGATGATCACCCAAATGAATTCTTAAACTAGCAATTCGAAAGGAAATGTTGGGCGATGGGCGCCGGCGTCTCCGTTTACGTGGCCGGAACAACACTTGCCACCGCGTGTTCACAATGCCCGAATGCCACCGCCCCGTGCAATTCGATTTGAAGAGGTGAAAATCAAATGGTGATAAGACTGGACTAAATGGCGCATGCGGCAAGACCTTCCATCCTGATTCCTCTAACTTCATACAAGAAGCTTTCGCTGTGTGAGCTGGCGCTTTGTCAGGGAAAAAATTGATAGCAAATTGATTTCAACCCATTTGACGCAAAATTTGGTCAACCTTCTTGAGCTGTTAAATAAAATAAGATGAATCCACAAATCAACTTTTTCCGGGCTCTAATAATTCGAAATAAACAAGCCCGTTGATATTCCACCAACAAGACAACATCACTTTATGCTTTGAAAATCCGGCTTTCTAGTTGGAATTGGCATTTGACCCATTGTCTTTTTCGATAAGGGTCATTGAAGTGAATCCACTTCCGGACTATCTTCAAATCTTCAAGATATTCTCAAAAACATGACTTCTTTTCGACTTGAGAAGCAAGATATGGCTCTTCGAAACGAGACTCCACCATGATCTAAAGCAAATATCAATGGGTTTCACATAAGCTATCTCAAGGAATCAAATTACGTAAAAAGAAGCATATGTGGAGCTGTCCTTTGCCAGGCGGTGCGCAATTACAAATGCACACAGAGAACTCTATAAAACAGTTGTTCAATAAAGGAAAGCTTGAAGAGAATCGAATCTTCGACCTACAGCTTTGCATTCCGACATCCACTACACTACGCAACTATTTCTTTAGCGTTATAAGAGAGGCCAAAAACTTATTTTCCAAATTCCTTGCGATTCCTATTTAATAAAAAAGGACAGCAGATTCGGAAGCAGCGTCAAATTCTGTAGATGGTCTAGGTTTCATTTCAATTGTCCACTTTCAATTGGCCACTGATTTCATGAACTTCTCTTCGGAGTGTTTCCTTTAAATCAGATACGGCCAATTCAGTTTAGCTACCTACTAAAAGATCACACGGCAGAATTTTGCCAAAAAGAATTTTTTTTCTATGACTCATACAACTGTTTAAAATTTTACAGTACATTTTTACCGCACATTTTTCTTTTTCTGTTTCTTATTTTGAATGAAAAGATCATTCGTCTCTCCATTGAAAATTGCTCTCAAACATTGCCCATTCATTCAACAGATTCGTGCTATACTTTGTGTGGGTGGATTGATCCATAGCTTGACAATGAATGTGCAAAAGCAAAAGTTTTCTATTGAACAGCTGGATATGATCCCACTTTTTGGAAAAAAAGGAACGAATCCGGTTTGGGCTCAATCTGCTCATTCTTTGCAGCTTTTTTGCAAAAAGAAAGAGAAAATACCAGTTGAGAATCTGTTGAAAAAGATGTTAACCAACGATAAGAACAGATACTTCAATTGCTCTGAACAGGTACTTCAATTCAAATGACATATTTTCACTTCAAGCACAATCACAAATTCCTCTGATCACCGCAAGCTTTTGACAACTTTGTCAAGGCATTTTTTCTCAGAATCTTTGACTTAAATTGAACACTTTATTAGTTCCCAGCTCTCGATCTACTAAACTATCCAGATGCTTTGATGACGCAGAGCTTGCTAACGGAGTTGCACGGAGCGGTGGCATTCGGGCATTTCGAGCAAGCGGTGGCTTTTGTTCCAGAAATGTAGACGGACACTCCAGCAGCCAGACCTCTGAATATGAGGAAATGAACATAGATGAATCGGTTTATCGATGACTATCGATGACTATCGATGACTAATGACTAATATCAATGACGATTTAAGTATCGATACTGATTCTAAAGATGAATTTAACAATTTTACATTCAACCATCATTGATCTTGAGAAAAGGATCCAAATCTCTAGAGAAAAGGAACCAAATTCGTAGAGAAAAGGAACCAAATCTCTAGAGAAAAGGAACCTGCGGCTTTTTAGGCTCTTTAGGCTTGTACCAACTTTGGATATACGTGGCAAACAGTCGCGTATTGATTGTTGGTCATGTTGATGTAGGCGCAGCCGATCTGATTCGCCGGTCCGGCAATGATCTACAATGAGACTATCACATTAAGTTGTACTCAACGATTACCTGGTAGTTGAAATTATAGTAGCTGTTGCCGCTATTAGGCTGATAGGCCATTGACGGGAGGCCGAAAGTGTTCAAATAGTTGCCCCACGAGCTACTCCAAGCGGCATTGACTGAAAAGAGATGGTGACTTAGATTTTGACCTCTGCCCATTAAGTTTAAGATTCACTATTCACCGGAAACCTATCTACTTATTCTATCCTATATGTAGATAGTTAAAAAATGATTTAACTCAACTTGCTAAGCTCTAAGTTAAGCTTTAAGTTAAGCTTTAATTAGTCTAGTTTTTCACAAACACTCTCATGATTCTAGCCTCTTCAAGTCCTCAAGAGAACTCACACATTGCCTGTGCAGTCATTGTGTTTGGAGCGATCCCATAGAGAACACCATGAGTGATTTCTCCGACATTGCTTGGCACTGTGCCGGTCATCTGATTCCCAGAAAGAGTATTCAGACGATTCGCAGCGGCGGTGGCCAACGAAGCATTCCATCTCTGAATTTGTTGTTTTTATGAAATATTGAAGTTCAAACCAAAGTGTACATCTTGTTGGCGGCTGGGTAGTACTTAACCGGAGGCTTTGTGCCACCACCCTTAAACAATGCTCATGAGAAACTCTTTTAACAACCAATACCCATTGATAGTCGTACTCGGCCTCGTAGTCGTGCCATTGTTGTTGTCCCTTTGCCACTTTTGAGCGATGTGCGATAAACTTCTGAATGTCAACAGGATGTGGTGTCAACAATGACATGAATCACATACAAACCGACGCAGAATTTTGCGCTGATTCCAAATCTGCTTTCCGTTTTTGCAACGCAACACTCTGTCAAAAGTTATAAGCGCTTAAAGTTTTGGAATCTCAGAAATCTCAGAAAACAGCCCTTGAGTTTATAAGTTGACTTACCAGAGGGCAAAAGATGTCATGGTGGCCGAGTGGCAAGCTTGAATACGAAGGGAATACTCTAGGGTCCGACATCTGACTCCCAGTCCAGTCCAGCATCTGACTTTTGTTGTTGCTTCTTTTAGCTTTGAATTGTTTGAGTGTTTTGGCGATGTTGGATGCTCATCAATGGCTGTATTTTTGGTTTGAGTGTTCTCTATTTTCTCTAATCGTACAGCATCTGGCACACAGTTGCTTCAGATATACAGCTAATGATCAGCATCCAACATCGCTAATAGCAGCAACAACAAAATTCAGATGCTGGACTGGACTGGGAGTCAGATGCTGGACCCTAGAGTATTCCCTTCGTATTCAAGCCTGCCACTCGGCCACCACGACATCTTTTCCTCTCTGGTAAATCAACTTATAAGCTCAAGGGCTGTTTTGTTCTGATTTTGCTGTTCTGAGATTCTATCCAAAACTTTGAGAGCTTATAACTTTTGACAGAGTGTTGCATTGCAAAAACGGAAAGCAGATTTGGAATCGCGCAAAATTCTGCGTCGGTTTGTATGTGGTTTATGTCATTTGGCTATCATACCTTGGTGATATCCCCTTGTAAAGTGTTTTAGCTATTCTGAAAACTGAAAACTCACGTTGAGCACATAGGTTTGTGTGGTGCCCGAGTAGACAACGGCCGCCCCACAAACAACTATAATATAATAAAGTTACAAGACGTTCCACAAGGAAACAAGGAAACAACATCGAACACTTTCTACTATAGCAATTACTCTATATTAGAGCTTTGTTAGGCCTTGTTAGGCCTTGTTATAGATTTGATTGGTTTGCAGAGTTGATACCAAAGAGTCAACTCACATTCGATGAGGCCAAGAAGTGCGATTAGGGTTCTCATTCTGCTAGGTGAAATGAGAAGAATGTTAGAATGGAATGGTCTCTCTAACCGATGCTTTTATACTGAGTCTAATCTAGATTTGAGCCCAAATGGATAAAGCTAGCACGAACTTTCACATACTTTTCTCTTTTTTGAATTTTTGATGATCGAAAATCGTCACTTGCTAGCTGTTTCGTTTTTCTCTTTCAAGTGAAAGTGTAGGGATTTGGGCAATCAATGGAATCCATTGTGTTGTAAATAAAAGAACACAATCCGCCCACATCGAGCCATCAGGATCTATTCAAAACTTTTGAACAAATCAAGAAACGCATTTATTGATAGATTAGCCGATTCTATGGACTATTTTAATCGCACCGGTTTGCAAATTCGTGCAACACTCTGTGTAGGTGGATTGATCCCAGAGAAATGACAATGGAAACGGCAATGGACTTGCAAATGCAAAAATACATTCATTCAGTAGTTTTTTTTAAATCATCAAAGGTTTTTCACTTTTACCCAGCATAAATCGGATCATTTGGCTCTACTTTTAGATATTTTTGGCAAATGACCACCAAAGATCGAGATTTGCATCGCATCGAAACGTGTTATTTGCTCGTTTTAAGCTGCCATAAAACCAGTCGTGTGATAAGCGAATTGTTTGCGTGAACTGAGCTTTCACTAATTGTCGGACACTGAAACACAGAGGGTGAAGATCGGAGGATGATCGTTTGCTCGTTGATCGTTGAGCGTTGATTGCTTGGGGAAAGTGGCGAGAATCGTTCAGGCTCTCTGACTGCGAGCCTCTATCGAGATCTTCTAGCCGAGAAGAACTGGATACTAGAACGGATTTGAGTAAACTTCGATGAGTTTGTGAGAAATCTAAAGAATCTAAAACCTAGCTATGTTTAGTATCAAAATAGAGCCTAATAGGAACCTAATAGGAACTTACAAGGAACCTAATCGGAACTTACAAAGAATCTAATCGGAACTTACAAGGAACCTAATGGAACTTACAAGGAACCTAATGGAACTAATGGAAAAAACCTACAAGGAAAAAACTTACAAGGAACCTAATGGAATCGGAACTTAATAGGAACCATTAATAGGAACCATACAAGGAACCTAATCGGAACTTACAAGAAACCTAATCGGAACTTACAAGGAACCTAATCGGAACTTCCATGGAACCTAATCGGGACTTATAAGGAACCTAATCGGAACTTACAAAGAATCTAATCGGAAAACCCAAGGAGACGAACCAAGGAACCTAATGGAATCGGAACTTAATAGGAACCATTAATAGGAACCATACAAGGAACCTAATCGGAACTTACAAGGAACCTAATCGGAACTTCCATGGAACCTAATCGGGACTTATAAGGAACCTAATCGGAACTTACAAGAAACCTAATAGGAACCATTAAATTAAAGCCATATTTTTAATAAAAAGCATCTAGAATATGCAAATTTACATTTTATTTAGAACAAGAACAAGACTAAACGATTTGAAAGGATTTAAACCAATCGTAGTTTCACTTTGAGCATTTGACTTGGATTTGGTGATGGTGGTTGAACGGCGAAAACCCAGTTTAGCCAAAGCTCTCTTTCTCTGAAAACTTATGCAAAATTGATATTTAAAAGTGACAGTATATTAAACTGTGGAAAAAATCTTACCTTCAACATCTAACAGTTAAAGTTTAGTTCAACATCTAGCAAGTTCTCAAGATTTCGGCTCACAAATCAGAAATTCTGAATGTGATATGTAAAACTTGGGATCAGCTGGTGCAGCCGATAAGAATTTGAAGCAACTTTTCAAACAGCCAATAAGAATTTGATTTCTTTTGAAGATCTTTCTTCTATTTTCTTTCTAAACGATTAAAAAGATCAATTATTTCTCTACAAAATTTATAAGAAAGCTCAAAGCTCGCCTCAACTCAGTAAAACGTATTTTTACGTAAAATTTTCAATCTTTCTTTTAAAGAAAATGGCTGAACGAATCGTTTTCAAATTTTGCAGACTTATGCAATCAAATGAGTTCTATCTTTTTTACTTTAGCACTAAAATAGGTTTGTATTGAAGAAAGTGGTCAAACGTCGACAAGAAAAGTCAGTCGGCATCGGACAGTTTTGGGTGCTCGCCTTTGGGCCTTTAAAAATCCATAAAAACAACTGTTTCCATGAACTTCCAAAAAGCCATTTTGCAGAGAAACAATTAAGCTTTTTAATAGTTTAAATAGAATTTTTGTTGATGACATTATTTTAAAAGACTTTTGGGAAAAAAAAAACTTGCAAAGACTTATACACCAACCTAATGGGTTGGTGAATTGAAAACTGCCAGACTTTGAACTAAAATTTATTCAACATAAAACCATCAATTCATTCCAAATAATTCCCATTATTATTGACGACTTCTGCCCATTTTGCAGGCAATTTGCGGATTCCTCTTTCGTAGTAGGATTTTGGTTTGTGTGTGAGACAAGTGTGAGACTCAAAAATGGAGGACTGGAGATGTCCCAGTTTGAGCACTTTCTTCAAAAGAAACCCATTTTGGTGTCAATAGAAAAGTTGTAGAGAATCAAAAATTAGACTTATAGCCAAATTTCCAAAAATATACACTTAGTAGTTTCGCTTAAAATGCAAGTTTTGTGAAAATTCGCATTGGCATTCGAAAATTTGGCATTTCTTGAAAACCAGCTTTTGAATCGTTCTGAAAATTTGGATATAAGCTTTATTTTTGATTCTCTACAACTATTCCATTGACACCAAAATGGGTTTCTTTTGAAGAAAGTGCTCAAACTGTCACATATGACAATAGCCGGCAGTTTTCAATTCACCAATCCAATAATAATAGATTGAATAAATAACAGCTTAATAACGAGAAAAAAGTGGTGTATTACTGTACTAAATGATGATATTATTCAATTCAAAGTATAGTAGAAAATGAGTACTTTATTAATATGCTTTTTTTTAGCTAATACAAGGTCTAAAGAGCTTTACACAAAATTGAACATTTCAACTTGGCTCATTTTAAGATTCTCGTCAAAAAAAGGCATCAACAATACGCATAAATGACAATATTATTAAGTAAAAGTTCGGAAATCGAAAGCATCTTTCTTCTAGTTTTTCTTAAAAATGTTTCTCTATACAAATGCAAGCAAATTTTTCGACCTAAACCCACAAGAAAGAGATGAAATGTAGGTGTTTGTTTGCTCGGCGTGTCCCTTCCGTCAAATCCTTCCAAGATTTCCCTTTTCTGAAAGAAAAGGTTGTGAAGAACACGAATATGTTCTCTTTCTTCTCATCTCCTTTTCATTTCCTTTTCTTTTCACAATCACATCTGCACTTTTTCCCTCTTGATGACCTTGTCCCTTATCGCCTAATCGCACAAGTTGCTCGCCCTTCACTTTTTCTCACCTACCATCATTTTCATGGCTTTTATGGCTTGTGCTTGAGTGATTTTCTTTTAGTTTTTCAAAGGTTGATGTTCAATTTAGCTCATTTCCTTTAGCTAAAAATAGCTGTAGCTAAAAATTATTTAAATTCTTATACTTTACTTTTACTTTTACTTTTACATGTTTATTTTTATGTTTTTTTACTCCTTCATCTTCTCCTTTATCTCCGTGAATCTCTAAACTTTTCCAGATCTTTTCATCTAAAGATAATGCAGTTTGCTTGTTAGAGTTGTTAGACAACAAGCTTATTAGACTTCAAGCTTGTTATGTATCTATAAAGATTCCAAATACGCTTAAAATTCAGCAAAAAGAATGGTTCCAATAGCTTCGCTTGGACGCTTGTAAATTTGATTTGCCATTAGCTTACAATTATAACCATTTGCCATTAGCTTACAGCTTATTAGGTTGAGGAAAAAATGCGCTTTTTTGGATCTAACAATTTATTACAATTTATTTTATTACTACAAGAAATAGAAACTATCGATCAGTAAGGTATTCTCCATTTTTATGACCATGACTTCTTCCAATCTTCGACGCAAGTCCTTGTGAAAAATTGGGGATTTTTAAAGCCAAAATATTTATCGATCGCTTTTTTTTGACTTGAGCATAATCATCGAACTTTTCTCCCATGATAAACTGTTTTAAACATCAAACATCAAACATAAACAAAAAGTAATCTGACGGGGTTAAGTCAGGAGAGTAATGCGTATGAGGAGGCAACTTCTAGCCCAGCTCGTCAATTTTTTTTGTCAGTCACTTTTACCGTGTGGGGTTTCGTGTAAAAATCGAATCTTTGATGAATTGAACCCCAATTTGCCTGTAAGCTGTAAATTGCTTGTAGCTGTAAATTGCTTGTAGCTGCAGCTGTAAATTGCCTGACTAGCGACACCCACTCTCAATTTTTGCCCATTTGTCCTTTCTATTGTTAGCATCCACTTGACGGGCGCTGGCTTTTCTTTTCTAGCATGATTTCTTTCACTAATCATCCAGCAATCCACTAAGTTGACAGTTAGATTATCTCACAAATTTTAAAAACAGCCTTTACCAAACCAAACCAAACCGTTAAACTTTTACCAGTACTTTTCGAGACTTTAACTTAGCTGTTAACTCTGTTAACTCTTAACTTCTTAACTTAACTTCTAAACGAATTGAAAGGAAACGATTTTCAATGCCAACTGTCAGTGCAAAAGATTTCTAATGCGATTTCAACTTGTGGTTGCAATTATTGTTGTGGTGGAAACGACTATTGGAGATAACGTTTGATTTGAAGCAACTGCACTTTTCATTCCCATATCCATTTGTGCAATTGCAATGCTTGTTCCCTAAAAGTAAATTCGTCGTAACATTTATTGCCAACGAGACAACGCAGATTTAACTCCAGCTCACTCATTTACCTAAAAAGCCAAAATTTCGAAATTTAACTACTGACATTTGAAAAACTGTAATGATAAAAAACGATAGACGATAGATTTTCGGCTACTAAATATCTATGCGGATTCCAAATGCGCTTAAAAGTCAGCCAGGGAATTGTTCCAATAGCTTCGCTTTTACATTTGTAAACTTTGCCATT